ATCATGCTTTTTCTTTGAGTTCTGTTTCTATATATTTCTCACCCTGGCATTCATGGCCCCCACATAGCTACACAACCTCTCTTACTATTCCTTGCCCAGGTTTGCCTGTCCTGCAGGCTGAACTCTGTTTCCCCTTCTTCTCCCTCCCCACAAAGAAATAACTCTCACCTCTTTACTACCTATCTACATCCTTTATATCCTCATATATCAAAAGCAGTCACACCTTCTCTATGAAGCCTTCCCTGGCTAGCATGCCAGCATACATCAATAGCTGACATCTCAGATGCTACGTACGGCACCTGTTACCTGTCCCACACCTTTAGTTCCTAGTCACACACGGTCCTTCATTCCCCAGGAGTGTCATAGGTACTGCAGAGCCCATCAGCTCAACCAGATAACCATTTCCTTGAGAGCAGGCACTCTATGGTAGAATCACGCAGTGAACATCGAGACGGACAGAAGAGTGTGGGTTCAAACACCAGGTTTTGTTGACAGATACCTGCATGCAAATCCCAGCCACATCTTTTACTTGTATGTGACTTTGGCCAGGAGCCCAATACCTCTGTGTACCTGTTTTTCATCTGTAATATGGGGGATATTGTTATACTCCTGCCTCTCAGGTTGTTGGAGAATTTTAGGAGTGTGTGTGTGTGTGTGTGTGTGTGTGTGTGTGTGTTTTCAGGAAACATGCTTAGGATAGGACCCTACACTCAATTGTTGTTGGCCACATGTAAGAAGGGCTCAACCTACTCCATTCTCCACTCTATGGATCATGGGCTATAGGTATGAACAAATTCCATCAAATAATGGGAAGAAGGGATGGAGGGCAGACCTGGATTCAAATAATGAAACTACAACATAATCAGCATGATCATAGAGGAAAACACAAGAACTGTGCATTCCCCAGTGCCTGACACAGGGCATTGTGGTACTAGGTGCCCAATCCATGAGGAATGATGATTTGATTTGAATGGTGCTGGATGGAAATCTATTAAGTTGGTAATCACATACACCGTACCTCAAAAGAGTCCTTTAGTGGCTTTATAATGCAGAAACCACAGACGGGTTCAATTTGGCAGTGTTATTAAGCAAATAAATGGATTTTTAGATATTTAACTTCTAATCATATGTGAACTTCAGGAAGCTAAATGCTCCAATGACACTGCTAAATACCTCTTTGTTAGAAAGCCATGGTTTGACTTTTGAGGCAAAGTCGAGAGCCTAAATTCAACCCCATTAGTTCATATTTTGTCCAAAATGCAGTTTATAATGAAGCCAGCAAATTAGGTCCCTTGATCATAAACCTCACAGAAGGAAAGCAAACAGAGCATGAATCAAAAAGGCTTTAGACAGCAGTTGGCTATTAGTAACATATAAATTAAGTGTAAAATCAAAGGGGGGGGGGTTAAGTTCAGTGGTTACGGTCTCCGTGTAACTTAACACAAGCAACCTGAGTACAAATAACCGTAATACTACGACTAACGATGAGGATGCAAACTCTTTCATTATGTTTCTTGACAAAATGACAAGCTCACAAAGTTTGAGTGTGCCTCCTATTTTAATTCACTGCCACTGTCCTTCACTTGTCAGCTGCTTGTACCAGGTTGTTGTAGCCCAGATGGTGTCGAAACATCACAAGCTGCTCCCAGACCTCCTCTGTATTTTTGAACAATGGGGTGAGTCACCGTTAGCCACAAGTGTGATTCTATTACCACTCGCGGTTTGTATCACCAAACTTGCACAACTCCGCCTGAATCATGTTAATTAAGTTTTGAGTACTGCTATTTAAAGTTATTTAATTTTCCCCTAGAGTTACACAGAGTGGGAACTCGGCCCATTGCTTTCAAAGGAGTTTGAAAACTCCCAGCCGACCCCATTGTTTTCCTACATATTGAGAGAATGTTAGAACACACTGCAACGGCTCCTCCAACTGTGGAAGCTCCTTCCCAGTCTCTGCGGTCTATTGGCTAAATTTATATTGACGGATACTTCAGAGCATGGATTATTGAGCTAATAGACCACAACGCCTCGCTATTGTGTACATCAGAACCGTCACGCCTGTTTATAAGGCAGATCTGTTCCACGTGATTGCGAAGAAAAGGATATAAGAGAGAAGAGCTTTGAAAAGTCGCCTCACTAGCACTGATGATGTTAGTCTTATAAAATCATCTGTCTAGAAAACCTAGAGTACTCCAAGAACACTCATGCCTCATAATGGCCTATAAATGCTTTTGTAAGAGTTCCAAAAAAGTGCACAACCAGTACATTTCTGTTTTCTATTTTTGTGCCTTAAAAAAAAAAAAAAGTAGAAATAGCCAACGGGCTGGAGTTTTTTTTCCCCTTTGACAATTTGTGAAAAAAAAAAGTTCACTCTAAGGCTGAAACTTCGTGTGCCAAGTTTTTGCTTGGAACTAATTTTTATGGCTAAGTTATAAAGCCCCTGAAAAGGGGGTGGGGGGCTCAAATGGAAATGCTGACACAGCTTTATCCACAGTGGCCA